CAGACTACAAACTGTGACGATATGTATATCAGATGAGAATCGTATTTTAGTTTTCTTGTAAGTTTCCAAAAACCTAATTTCTACATTATATTTGCAATTTTGTACAAAATAATTTAGAAAAGCATGTAATTGAAGTGCTTCACTATGAAAGGATCTTGCATTTGTTGCTCGTGGAAGTTGGCAGAACTACATCTCTTGTTGTATTCGACGAGAGAGATCGATTCTATTTTCGTTGGCCACTGTAGTTACATGCCTGTGCAATACAATGGCAGAAGATAGAGTATCAGCTCTTGCTATGCTTTCCATCGAGCGTGATTTCCTTATCCGATTAGCAGAGTTTAATGAAAAGTTAACACAAAATTTACTACAAGCGGTCGAGCATATGGTTACATATTCGTGCCGTGACTACCAGCGAGCACGGGGCTTGCAAAATGTGGTCCAGCATTATCGCGGTCCGGATGATTGACTGACGCTTCCGGGCACGTCGACCGTGGCCATGAAACCCATTAGTGTGACCCCGTGAGATAGTGGAGTCTCCTCCTCTGCATGGTGAGATACGACGCTGACCTACACGTGAACTTGACTCCTCCAGCGGGGGCTAGCTCTAGTACTTTACTGGCCTTCAGAGATATAAATAGAGTAGTTGGTGCAAATTAGTGAGTGTATTTGTGTGTAAGGGGCGAGATAGGGCCAAAGAAGAGGAAAGGAAGAACGGGAGCGGAATACGGCCAGTTTGTTATGGTATTCCTCTGGCATTCGCCTTTTGTTGTTGAGAGAAACTACGGAAAACTACCGATCAGAACCTCTAAAATTCTTCCTACAGCGACTGAATCCGTCCTAGCTATAAAGCTGGAGTCAAAAATCTGCTACCATTGGGGCTTGCATTCTCGTATCTCCCAGTCGGAGTCGCTGCAGAAGTAATGGTAATGGTGGCCCTGAGTTAACAACACCCGGTATCGCGATTCAGAATGCACTCATAGCGTACTTACGGATAGATCTACGAGCCCTAAGGCATGACGTTTGTCTGTCAGGAAGAATGCAAGAACACGGGAATCGTTTGTTAGTGATATCTGATGAAAGGCTGCACCCTAACCCCATATGTGTGGTGTGCACTGAAGATCCGCCGGATACGGTCGCTTACCTTTGCGGCGCCAGACACGGATGCGACCGCTGTCAGCGCCCAAAGAGGAACGTGATTCACCGGCGCAGGCGAGCGACACTATTGTTCTCTAGCTCGTTGTAGGGGAGGGGGAGGGATATGTAGTGTGGTGAACAGATAGCTCATCTCCTGCCTCTGTATACGTTGTACAAAACTGGTCTACCCATGTGGAGTTTGTCGTGGGCAAAGCGAGTTCGAGAGAAGTTTTTTGGGGGCTCTTCCGTTTCTACTGCCACTCATTCCGCAATCATCAGATCATCACAGCCCATCTATCAAAACTATTTACCTCAGGTGTAGGAAACTAGTGATGCTAAATCAGCATGTATTTTCACCCAAAATTACGTGCAAAGTACTCAGTTGTCCGAAAAATTGTACACGATCTTATTTCAAAATATATCTTCAAGGAATACATTTCATGAAGGGAAAAATCTCTACCTTTAATGTTTTAGTTATAAGAAGACTCCAAAAAATATTGAACATGGCAACTTTCGAAAAATTGGGGCTTTTTAATGTTCATGAAACCTGTACCATTCTCTTAAATGTACATCACACTAACCAACAACAACATTTAATCAAAAACAATGGAGCCATTTTTTAAATTTGGAAAATGTCACAGGGGCGTCGTGAAAATAATGTTTTTATTATTTTAATTGTAGGAAGACTCAGAAAAAAACTTATGCAATTTTCGAAAAGTCAGGGTTTTCACCGAACATAAGACCTGCATCATTCTCCTAAACTCCTTCACACTATCCAACAACAAAATTTAATCACAAACAATTGAGACATGTTTCAAAAATGTCCCAGAGCCTTCATGAAAATTACTCCCCCAAAAATTAAAATATCGATTTCCAATTCAAGGGGCTACGTCATCAGCCAGGTCAATTGGGGAATTCCAATTTTGGAGAAAACCTGCTGAACGGTTTAACCGCTAGCGTTGTTCACAGACGGACACACGTTTTGCCGTCATACGATTGTGCGGTGTGAAGGCCCCACAAAACATACATTTTGGCTAGACCACGTCATAGAGGATTTTCCCCCTAAATTTATCAACTGGATTTATCCACTTTTTGTTACCAGGAACCTAAATAAGAGCTTTTCTGCCAAAAATTCGCCGTGTTTCCGCGCAGCATTCCATAACTTTCTCTCTACCGCGTAGGCGGATCGAAGTATAGGTATATAAAATGTATCTGTTCTTTGACGCATCTCATAGAATGCAACGACAGTCGACGCAGAGAACGGGGATAGCTCTCTGGAGTACTACAAATAGTTATGTTAACTGTGCTGACGCCAAAGCGGGAGGAGGTTGCGCAAAGTCCGTTACAACTCTCCGGGAGATTTTATCCTCAACCAGTTCGACGTCTAGTCAGAATCTAGCCTCCGCGATGTGCAGACGGAGCAAGCCTGTGCCTAATTGCGGTATGTCCATGACTAAATACGAAACGAATCCACGTCTCGCATTAACCATTACATTACCAAACAGAAGGGTGATTAGAGGCGCACAGAAAGTTTCAATTTGTTTAGGAAGATGCAAATTATTGATGTTTTTTGACAAGTTCTTTTTTTCTTCTTCTCAATTTGCGATGCAATTTATCACAAGACTTGGATAATTTGAGTTATTACATCGTCTTTGCCTTTGGATAAAAAAATTCGGAACTATTCACTCGAGAACTGAAATTCAGAATACATTTTGGAATTATTTGTAGTATTTCAAGCCCTATTATATGAACAGTTTAATAATACTACGTTATAAAGATACTTGGGCTAATACTTGATACAAAAGTGTCGTAGGTGTTCTCATTGAATACAAATACCGATGCAAGAAAGCCAATATTTACACCAGAAAAAGACCCTTAAATTAAATACTGTTTTTATGTTTGCATGAATGCACATGTTATCAAAATCGTACTAAAATAATATAATTTAAGCGAAGAGCTCCCGAACACTCACCCCTTGATAATGCTGAGGTTAGGGGACTACTCTCCTGTAGAAAATAGATCGACTATTCAAAAGAAACATAGTGAACCACCATAGGGTAAAATTCAGTCAAATCGAAAAATTTTCTACTATTGCAGCGGATAACGCCTACAAAATTGATCGAAAGAAGCAAAGAATACGCATTACAAAATGTTATTTCATGAATCAAACAATTATATGGAACGACTACCTCCTTTCATACAATTGTATGGAAATCTTTCCGTGGATTATACGGGTATTTCGAAATAATTTAAGTCACTAATTACTTTTTGGGGTATTGGCTACTAACAATGAATGTGAACAAGAACAATGGAGTACAGTAAGTGTACATTACTGTACGCATGTGTGCAGTGTTGATATTTGGCAGGTGAAAAGAGTTCAAATGGAATTGTGAAGTGAAGAGACACAAAAATAACAATAATTAATTCCTGAATTACTGCAACAGTTTCTGCTGTTTTTTATGTTATTTTTTATGTGATCATTTTTGTTTTTATCTTTACCAATTCAGACTCCTCCGGGACTACTTTCAGAATTATTCTATTTAGCTATTCGACGCTCAGACCAACCGTTCACAGGTAGAAGAAAATATTCAAGAAAAATATACTCAACTATAGCATGGACGCCTTCAGTTACCTAAATTTCTTTTGGTTTTTTAATAAAGAGTAACTGTTACTCTTATTTAATCGTAATGCCCTTATCTATTTACGTCAAACAATAACTGTCGTCAGTACAAATGAAGGAAGGAAATATTTCCAACCATGTCCTGCCACATTGTTTGTTATTTTTCCAAGACATAGTGTAAAAGCGCCTGAACCGTTACAAAGTTCAAAGGTCAGCCAATGAGTTTTGGTATTTACGTCTTTCTGAAATTCGATAAAGAAACTGACGTCATCAACTTATCATGCGTCAACAATTTAGATATTTTATCTGGGTTATTTGAACTCAATAATACTCCTTGCCGTCACTCAAATAAAATACGCAATGGAGGTACTAAGAAAGGGACTCGCTCAGATTTCCGAGGATCGACGAGGAACATGGAGGTCTGTCTGTGTTGCCTTCCTTCAGAAATAAGAGTAGCGAAATCGGGGGCGGTTGTTTCAGCAGAGTTTTAGTATGTACCACATCAAAATGATAAGTTGACTGCCGCACTCTGGTTTTCATTGCATTATATTCTGATACTAACGTGTTTCACTATTTACGTAGTGGTGACAAGAGGGACACTCAAGGGTACATACTAATTCCGCTAACTCCTCTCATCCATTTTTACGTAAGAACCAAGAATAAAGGAATATCACCTTTGTAAGACAATATATCGTGTGTCTATCGTTCGCGGTTAGGACTAATTGTTCCATTAGCGAGTTTTTCACAGCGACGAGGAATGTACTGTTTGCCAGGGCTCTTCAATTACACGAACCGAGACCAGACTGCCCGTGGTTGTCCGCTGCAGGGTCCTTGCGCGCCATGCACCTTTCACCAAACTAGCACCGATCGCGCCGCCTAAGAGCATTCTTTCCTCGACCGTCGGGCTGACAAGTAGACAGAAGTAGCGTTCAGTAATAGAATGCGCGGTTCTGCAAATTTAGCGATAGCCGTACGCCCTGTCATTACAATTGGATTGCTCAGACAGTGCAGGTTGAGCCCAAAGAAGTGAAGTTCGGGAGGAGGCACGCCTGGTGGCCG